CCCTCGATCTATCGAGGCGATGTTCTCGAGCGACTGTCATTTGCACGTATCGTGATGTCAAGTAGTTGAAGTATTACCTTGAATAGAGAGTTAAGTAAACAGGTTGCCGCTCTGACGCATAAGAAATTCGTAGCTAATCCGAAATTACCATCTATTTTTAGTTCAGATCCAGCACTGGCTTTGTGTCCTACGTAGCTCATCCTAAAGTTGTCCATTTATAGTCAGTAATCGAATGAGAGAAGAGTTTTCACTTGACCATATTCATCGAACCCATTGGATGAATCCCTTTTCGAAGTGGCCATATTGAACTACGCGGAAGAGAAGTGGAGAAGAGGTGCCTAAAAACATATGTGATAGTAGCCGTTGTTATTCAAGATCATTCATCGCTTCGAAACTTCAAGCTGCCTTGGTTGTCTCTTTCTCAAGCAAATGACCTTGGAAGTTTTTATGGCTGGGTAAGCTCTGCGAAAAATGAGTTCAGTGCCTAATTGAGCCATGGAAAAGGGGAGTGTTCATTTATAGCGTTGATAGTCTGCTGCCTGCTACATATTCATAGGATATATTATAACCGACAGAGTTCTTCCTTTTAATTAGGACTTCATTCGGTACAATCAGTTCTTCCTTTCACTTTAGCAGAGATGAATACATGGTGAAAATAATTTGCTGGGACAGAATTTTCTCCCTGAGGACCTTAATTGGCCGATGAGCCTAATTCCTAATTAATTCTATTGTGAGCTTTGATGTTTCACAGAAGCTTTTCTCAGGTCCGAGTCAGTGTTGCTACCTTCTCTCTATAATGATTCTGTACTGTTCAGTTCCATTTAATTATGAACTCTTCATATGGGAGGTTTCGTATGAATTCGCGAAAGAAGTAATGTCTTCAAATTTTCGTTCTGCAACCGGTTACCGTACGATAAGCTTAGCCACGGTTTTGGCAGGCTCGTTGGATGTCTTCTACTTCTTTTCATTCACTGATAGTGAGCCTATGCTGAATTCTTTAATCTCTATTAGCAGCATCTCTATGGTAACTGGCATTAAGTGCCATTTATCAAAGGCAGTTGTCCTTTCTTGTGGCCCGGTTCTTGAGGCTCAATCGACCGCTTGGGTGTAATTTTTGATCTGTTATTCGTCGTAGGACCGAATCTGCTCGCAAGATTGTTTGGCTATTCGAAGGTCCTGAGGCACACGAAAGTTTTACATTCCCATTTGTAAGAAGTATTCGAATACTACGTCCAGCGCCAACAGGACCTGCGGGTAGGAATTCGCCATTTGGTGACTTGAGCCGTTGTTCGGTCGGAAGAAAGCAGCCGAGGGAGGTGCTTTCCATCCTATACATGGTAACTGAGGTCCCAAAAACCTTGTGGTTTAGGACAGCAAGGCCTGAAACAAGCACCTTTTCGAGCACCTTATGCAGCTTTTTACCCGGAGTACTCATAGATTTTATTGAGTTCAGAACTGTGTTTGATTTTTCTGATTTGCCGTCCTTTTCGTGTGGGAGGAGGAACTGCTGACTCTCCATTTCATAGGACATGTTCTGTAAATAATGATCATGTACCTCTGTTAAATGTGTAGGAGTGTGGGCAAAATTGTAAACGTTTTCGGGGAAAGGAATGTCTCAGACATCGTTGGATTTGCCGTTTCTTTCTGTTCGGAACTCTCTGTGGAAATCAGTCTAAACGCAACGGAGCGTAGATTGTTCTGCCGTGGCCCAGTAAATCAGTTGGTGTGATCGAATTGTGGCGCACAAACAAGCCCTTTCATAGGATGGACCTCCTCGGCACTCAAGATTGAACGCTGTATTCTGAGGGGTATGTTTAATCCGAAGTCGTAATGTTTCTCTTGCCCCGCTTTATCGGTTACTCGCACTAATCAGTAATTTTCTTTGACAAGAGTTATACTCTGCTCATTCTGAGCCTCACTAAAAGGCTTTACTCGTATCTTGGCTATTGTTCTACAGGGTGTCACAAAATTATTGGCGCCGATTTATTGCAATATATTTCAATCTTCTCAGCTGCGAAAGACGATGGAATCTCTATGCACGTTAGCTAACACTATGTGCTACAACATGCTACAGTCGCCTTTAAAAATATTTCCTATGAGCGCAGATAGAAGTCAAAGTTTGCTCTCGACTTGATCGCCTGTGACACGCAGGTATCCTCCTTGATTTCTTTCCAACCATTCTTCAGCCTTTGCATTCTAGGACTCCAAACTGGGACTGCACACTCGACAGATCCTCTTCTAATCAGGGACCATTCGTAGGGTAAAGTGAGTCAAGTTCTGGAAAATAGGATGACCATCCCTCTTCACCAATGAAGTCGGGCAGGTATCGTCGGCACCACTCGCGGGCAAGCTTAGCTCTGTGGACTGGAGTAGCGTCCTGCTGGAAGGACTACGAGATGTGTCAGAAAACGCGTCTGGTCAGTGCTTCATTACTTCCATCAGTACGCTGTTTGAGTACTGGTCTTGGTCAACTTTCATGCCTGCACCGAAGAAATCATGAGCGGCTTACCCTTGCCAGTGATTTCCTCAGAAAACATCATTTTACTATCCTGATAGCAACCTTTTTGTGAGATATTACACACAAGGTGTTTCTTTCCGGAACGCGAACATTTTGGTTGTTGAGAAATGGCTTTATCGTAAAAACTTTCTTGACCAGAGAAAACGACAAAGGGTTGCGTGTCACCACTTTCGACTTTCTGCATTTTTGGCCCGGCAGTGTCTGTTAAGATCGGAATTGAAGCGAAATTTCTGCATTCGATGGGAACGGTAGTGAAGCTTTTGCATGACATCCTTCCACCACGATTACTCCTGTAAGCCGTGCCCGTTGACTTCCTTTTGCTGGGTCACCCAGAATCCCGACCGATTGGCAGGCGGACCATTTTATTAGTCCTATCTTCAAGAACATTCTACTTTACTACCTTTTCTGGTTTGCCTCTGATTCAAGCTTTTTTCTGTATCGTTTAATAACCTCCTATACGGTTATTATAAAAATCCCAAGGAATTTCATAATGCCCTTCCTCCTCGCGCGTGTCAATGATCGCAAGTGGCATTGAATGAGCCTCTTTCATCTGAAAGATATTGGGATTTCCACATCAGTAACCATGCATATTGCAAGGAAACCTTCTTATGCAACTAATTAATAACAGGTCATGTGAATTTGATATATTCTTTCTACCTTAAAAATTTCTGAATTTGGGCGCCAATAATTTTGGGACACCCTGTATAATAAGTAAGTAGTTAGCTGAGAGTCTATTTAATTGGCAAATCATATCGTTTGTGTAGTTAGTAAAGAGCTCATTACATGTCCACTTCTGTCACTTCTCTCTAACTCGGATTCATTCCCGATTAACCATTGATGACCGCGTGGCCCGCCGGCGGGCCACACCATATCGTACTCCTGTAGTATTTATATTATTTATCGAGTGTTCTTATAATTTTTTTCATGTTCTCAAGTATCAGCTGAGCTCACAGCCTTCTAGAGAATCTTGAGGCATCGTGGTCCAGAAATCATTCATTCCCAACTACTTTTATAAGAGAAATTAAAAGTTAATGTAAGGGCAATGTAAGAGGCGCGATCGCCAATGGGTTAAAAAGGGTTTTTCTAAATACAGAAACGGGTGGGACTTGGGATTATTGCTCTGTTACCGCGACTCTTCAGAAAAATTTTGGGTTTCGAATATTCGCGTTTAGCTGCCGATCTTCCAGTTTATGTACTAAGCGCGCATCATGTCTTTCCTCACACCCTTTCTTAAGGCTCCCAGAGAGGTCCTCTTTCTCTCCCTTTTCATTTTGTTCAATTTTGGTATTGGTCTCGTTGGAGGATCTCTTCACTCCAAAGAGATTTTACGAAGCGATTTCGGTGTGTGAAGGAACACTCACTGAACATTGACTTCTTCGAGTCTACATTTTAGTAAAGAGAACAATTGTCTAATTTTAGCACTGCTGAGCTAGTGCACATAGTTATACACTAATGCTTCCGGTATAAGGCCCATTTTTTGGCGTTCCTACATTTTGCTCTCAAATAGAGTGTTTCCAGTTTCGTCAGTATTCCTGATGTAGAAAGCCACTTTACTGCCACATATGTACATATGCATTGCATTTTCTTTTTCTCAACCACTGGGGCTTCTGGCCTTAGGGTACATATAGGAGGAGTATAAGAGTTTTTTTTTTGATAATTGAAAAGAACTGACACTTCGACCAAGTAACTTTGACAGTCGTGAAGGTACTTTTCGGGAGTGGTTCCTACATTTGTAGATATTATTTCCATCTAATCATTGTTACGGGTATCTCCGATTGCACTCTTCTGATTTGTACTCAAGCCTTGTATATCAACCATAAGCAACTGGATAATGCAGTTGAAATCTAGAAGACAGCATTCTAAAGTAATGGAGCTGGACTATCATCTATTCCTCGGCTATGGCAAATAAGTCATTAAGAACGCGACAAAATTGAAGTGACCAATTTGGGTAGGCAGCTTGTGGAAGACCTTTTAAAAGGCTGATCAACTAGGCAAGCAGCAACTAAGCGACTCTCTAGTCACTGAATAAGTGCAGTGGAGTATCGTGTTTCATCGGATAGGCAAAGCGTGCGTTGGCTGACCCTTAGGCTGTTTCGTCAGCGGCGACCGTCCGTGACGGCGCTCATTACGACAATAGCGGACTTGCCGCCCAGTTAACTAGGCATTCATTTTGGAGGCCGTAGAATGTTCTGATGAGGTTCATCAGTGGCTCGACTACTTCTTTCCTCATTCGTCAGAGTTGCCAAACGTCATAGTGAGGCTGAGTGGTTCATATGAAATTAAATTTTGACGTTTAATCCAGAAGTGTTCATTCATTCTATATGTGTTTTTGGTCAGTTCATATTCATATTCAAATTTCAGCAAGGATGATATTTACTAATTGTTTTGGAGAGCATCTGTTCTCCTCCAATTCGTCTCGCTCACTTTTTATTTTTCGTTCCAATGTGATAAATTATGTCTGTACAATATTGCCGCTCGTCCTATGCTTCGTCTCGTAATCGATGCGTTCGCAGTTGAGACTTAGCTCATTCAGCGAAGAAGTCGTTGCCGAGTGACCAAAGCTCCGGTCGCTTGTAAATCGTCAGGGGTCGTCACAGCGGCGTATCTGCCCTGCTGCATGAACAGCATGCGTCAACGGCAAAGCGGTCTGTCAGTGCGGGTGACCGCACCGGTCAGTCCGCGATTGTACCGTCCGTTGGCTGACAGTTGGTGTGCGACTTCGGATGGCACATGGCGGCATCGCTCAATGAGTACCAGATTCCTCGCTGTCGCTGTGAACGCAATGAAACGCAGTAAGTTTGTAGGTGAATTGTCGTGTTATATCTTAATCACGAGGACCGCCGATTTTTTTTGTGGAATGAAGTGCTGAGAAAGAAGGAAGTGTCACAGGGGTAAGGTAGGATATGGATTCAATTATGAAGAAGGATATGAACTTCAAAATGAGCTGTTACGGGCACAGATCTTTATCAGGAAACATAGGTGAGGGAGGCTCTCAGTTTTGAAAGGCTTTTTGAAATAAAATACTTGGAACAGCTCCAGAACTTCCGAAAATGAAATACGCGAAACAGCTAAGTCATTTATGCATGAATCTTTGCCAATTCGGTCCGGTTTGATATGAGGTCACTTTCTCCCTAACTATTGATCCGTTTTTTACAACCATGATAGTTTTCACTCTCCAGAATCAGTCACGCATGGTATGCTTCAGAAGACCCAAGTATTCTTTCTGCAGTAATGATTTTATGAACTTATGATTGAGTCACTGATTCTATTACTATCACTTCTGACCCTGATCCTAATTTCTTTTGGCATATTCTTGTCCTAACTCTTCTAACATAGTCCTCGACCATTCCGTAGCAGAGAAATGTTATGGGCAGATTGAAAAGATTCAGTAAAAGATGAGTACATGGGGGTAGTTGTGGGCTTTTTGTAACTTGGTGAGAATTTAGCTTTTTTTTTTTTGTTGTGATCTTAGAGTCCAACTTACACAACATTTAATCTCTGGGTTGTGTGCTAGCCTGTGGAAAAGGCAGCAGCCGATGAGCATAGTAGCCAGTTTCTCTTGTTTATCCAGGAATT